TTGATACTAATACCGTATACATATTTTCATACCCCCTGCAATACCCTGAGGGCGCCATGTACCGATGGTTGAGAAAGTTAAGTTTCTTGCCCAAGGACACAACGACAGCAGACATCGGTGGGAGTCAGTGGAGAAGGTCTCGTCGTGGGCTCGTACCCACTACCTTTGGGCCCAATGGCCAATGCTCTACCAACTGAGCCACTGTCGCTCCATAATATATTCATACAAGTATTCAAATATCTTGAATGTCCCAAGCAGAGCAAACCCCCAAATAGAAAAGTTACATAGAACACCTTTATGTCATCATTTCACTCGTCTTTCTGCTTGACGTAAGTGAAAATAAGACATTTTCCAAAGTGGACAGTTTGCGTTGGACAAGCACAGGCCGTAAATCTCCTTGTGGATGTTCTTTACGAGTGCGCCCTGTGTGTTTTACGTCTTCTTTATGAGCTCAGAAAGGCCACCGCTCCACTGACACCGTCTTCACTGCTCTTCCGTAAGAAACAAACCCAAATGTTTTACAAGCTCATTTTCCCTAACATATGCTTAGTTGCCACTTAAGATTGACTCGCAGTAAAAACAGTATTCTCTTGCCCTGCTGTTCACCGTCTCATATCTCGTTTTTCATTCGCAGTAGTAGTTCTTTTTCTGATTTACTAGAGCTGTAATGACTGTCACAGCGATTGGCTTTTTAAGTGGTGAAGGGAGATGGAGTGAGCCGGTATTGATTCTCTGACAGCGGCGCTTGTGGCATAACACATGGATCCGAGAGGGGGATTTCCTTGTTGTTGATTATGTTGCATTGTGGTTGATCCACTGGATAAAACACATGCCTTTAAGTGCTATGTGCTTAAGGCCACCCGCCCCACAGGAGGAGGGCTGATATTTAACCTGTGATTAGCCGCTTATCCACACTCACCACACAACATTAGCGTTTGCACAGCGATGAGAGATCGGGTTGGTCTGGATCAGTCCCTTACTGTCACGTTAAAAAAAAAAAAAGGAGGATCCAAAGTTTAAGACTGCAAAATGATTATGTTTTAATTAACAAGAACACAAAAACAAAAGTCTACTGAATGTATAACACAGGAACTGAGGACGAAGACAAGAACCACGGAAAAAAGCACGGCAGGGCGGGGCAGGCAATCAACAGAGCAAGAAGTAAAACTCAAAAAGACACAGGAAAACAGATAATAGAACAGATTATAGAACAGGTAATACTAAAAAACCAGGAACTAAAAATGACAACCATGACACCTACAGGAAAAACAGGAATATTTTGTCTAATATATTTTGTCCGATATGTTAAGTCCATTTACTGCTGGAATTCAACTTCATCAGACTTTTTATGCCTGATGAAATGTCACATTGTGTGGTGAGAAATAAAATCTCTTGTGAGCAAAAGCTGTGCAGAGTCATCTCCATTTTTTTCATTGATCTATTTTCGACTTTTTTGCACGCTACTTAGAATTGGATGTGCGCGTCAATCTCACTCTAGAACTAATATATGACTCATTACACGCATATCCAGCCTGTATTTGTTATAATCCTGTAATGACGTCTCACAGCTTGTAAAAAAAAAACCTCAAATACAACCAATCCAAAAATTATAATATTTTGAAATTAGACTATAAGCTATAGTGATAAAATTGTAACAAACAAAGGCTTTGTCACTTTGCACGTGAAGCTAAATCATATATTGTTTTCACTTTGTAAGGTGATTTATAATGACAGAAAAGGTGTTTACTTCTGAGCAGTATTGTTTTGGGTGACGCAGTGGCGCAGTGGTTAGCCTTCAGGTGCTCCGGTTTCCTCCTCCACTGGATTCCCAAATCACTAAAAACATGCAACACCTCCTGCCCCCTCTCTCTAAAAATAAAGGTCAATAATAACATTAATTCAGATAGTATACTCTGTACCGTGACACATATGTACAATCAGACATGCTAGTTTATAAATCGGATAAAGCAGTACGTACTAGGGCCTTGATGCTAACATTGATCAACAGGTATCTTTCATTAGGAAATGCAAAACCATGCATTCGTTATTCCCAATGGGAGACTGATTCCTTTGTTGATAAATGAGTGAAGATAAATGGACCGGAGGCCAGGTGCGCATCTGACTGTCCAGAAACTCATCCATCACATCACTTCACACTGATAAGACCAGCCTCCAGCTACAAGGACCACACATTGTTTAGCAAAGTTCAAGTTTGGAATAGCGCGTTTTTGAAGGAGAATAGATTTGGACACTTTGACCCATAGGACAAACATGCACGGCTGATGAAAAAATAGTGTTGTTTACGTTATGTTAAAAATGCAATAAATCTTTGAAAGTAATTTAATTTAATTGTATTTATATGATTTTGCAACAATCATTAATCGAATGAGTGATCTTTTTTTATTTATTTTTTAGTTTTTATTGACCTGATAAAGCAAAATACCGATCATTCTGAAATTGTGACGATAAGCGGTCATTACAGACACAATTTAATTTGCTTTTCCGTTCGAAAGGAAAAAATTCAAGTTGGTCAATATTAAAAGCAAATAAATGAGAGCTTCTGTAACCCAAAATTGTAGCTATATAACATTTTTAATTTAATATCTTTAAAACCACACACATGCAAAGTATTGACTTCATTGTAAACAGTTCTCAGATTGGTCTAGTTTCCATATGCATTGCCTCTTGCATGTTTTGCATCTTTCATATCTTTTTCAGTCAGAAACAATAAAAATAGAAGACCACCCTCACTCAGCCAATCAGCTCTCAGCCTAAAAGTCTCAAATAGTAACTCACAGGGCGCTGACTAGTATGCAAAATATAACAGATGTCCTTCTGTTTTCTTCTCAAAATGAATTCATTCGGGACAAAGAGCATGTATCGTCTATAGCAGAGGTGTCCAAACCTGCAGCCACAGCGGCCCTTTCTGGACCGGTTTGGACACCTCTGGACTATAAGGAAAAACAAAAACAGGTACCTCAGCTTTAATGCGGATTTCTGAGACGTGCGTGTACAGTAAACTTCAAACCGCACATAAAAACCTGCTTTTGACAGTGGCATTTAAAGCCTTCAAACTCAATGCTGGATCCTGTGTAGCCAGTTGGACAATTCACACGTATGGATTCTGACATTTGCGAGACCCAAGTCACTTTTAAGCGGTGACTTTCTCACGTTACAAGATTTGTTCCAGTTTGTTCTCTCCCTACCTCATTTGCATATTCAGAACATATTTCCTGGTAAGTGGAGCAATGGCAGATCTCAGGAGAGCGCCACACAGAGATAGAAATTTGTATTAAAAAGGAGAAACATCTGAGCAGAGAAAAGAACAAAACCCCGGTACACCATTACTTTAATGATCCATCATGTTCAAAGGAAGAGTATTCATAATCCCACAGTAATAAACAAGGGACCCAGACACTGGAGTAAAGTGCTTTCATTTGGTGTGTGCAGGCAGCAGATGTTTGCACTTCACCGTTTTTCATAATTCATTTTGCTCATTTCTCAAACACAGCACAGAATTTTGGAGGGGTTGTCTTCGAATCATGATAATTCAACTCACAGCAGCCTTGTTTTTTTCAATTTGGAATACCTGAGGATATGTAACACCAATGGAGTTCAGTACTTTTGGTCGATCGTCGGTTCTGTTTGTTTATAACGTGCATTAGATTTCTACAATAATGGAATGCCTTTGTCTCCCACACCCACAAATGATTCAAATGTCCTTTTGTCCCCATCTTAATCAGAAGTCCATAATAATTTGTATCTCCACCGTTTGGCTCTTGTTTGGCAGTCCATTTGTTATGCCTTCACTATACACACTTTAATGTTCTTATTCGTACAGTGCTTTCACATGTTCATACTGTCACCTTTCTCATCTATACATTTGAGTGAGGGGAAAAAAACTCCTGTTGGATACTTTTATGCTTGGAAAACACAAACATTGACTTTGGTGTGGTGTACATGATTACTGTATATACGTAGATTAGGTACAGTGCCGTTTATCACTCACTTCAGTCAACTACAATGAGTTTTTGTCCAAAATTGTGCGATTTTAAGGATTGGTTCAAGAGCAGCTGTTTGATTACCAGGAGACTGTTAAGGAGTACGGTAAAAATAGACTGTATGCAGAAACCGTCCAAACACAATATTTGCAGATTTTTCAGACACGCAACGCTCCCAGGTCAGTGTAATGAAGACTCTGTGTGTTGTCTGTGTGTAGCAGAATGAACCAACAGGGCTCAAAATAAAATTAAAACTTCACAATATATATAATACTTAAGCACAGCGGTCCAAAGCTCCGTGGCCCTCCTTACCTCCTTTTTGAAAGATACCACAAGGACCCCTATATTTAAGTGCTGCTTTATACTATATTTAGACCAAAAATAAATGGTCATACAAGATTAGCAATGTAAAAAAAAAAAAAAAAAAGTCATTATTTAAAAAGATTGCAGAGCCTCCCCAGACCCCCAGGGAGCCCTGTTCCCCACTTTGAGAATCTCTGAATACTTCAACATTTGGTGAAGAGGCAGAGCGATGCGTTGTGCCGAGTATTTCAAAAGTACTAAATATATATAGTAGTGAGCCAAGGTCATAGATATTCAATACAGTGTTTTCTATTTATTTATTTATTGATTTATTTGATAGGGACAAGTGTACACAATCAACATGTGAAACACTACAACATTTATAGCCAAGGCTAGTTTGCAATGTCCGTCCCTATATGTTGACAAAAGCTCTCTTTTAACTTATTTTATTCAATTAAAGCAGGCAGGTATTTGTGGTATTTTCATCTAGGATTTGCATGTGTCCTAAGAGATTAGTATTCCTTAATTATGGAGGCAAATTCAACAACACCATATAATTATTTTTCTTTACACTCACAGTGTAGCATTTGGATTTATAGATGGAACCTTATGACAAATCAGACGAAAATCCAAATCTATATCTCACCCTTGTGTCTGGAGCATTTGCGTTTCCCTCCCCCAGTGACCACCATATTGTCAGGTCAGAGTTCCAAGCCCCAGGAGTGTTGTCCTAATTACCCCACAGTGCACGATCTCGACCTGGGGGCCTTCCACGGTATTTAGGTAACCTCTGACCCCTGCTACCGTCAAGGGCCCCCCGTCACTCGCCACCTCAGCCCAAGACTGTGGGTCAAGTTCACCATCAGGGGCCCCGGCGTGTTCAGACATCCCACTGCAGAGGCAAAGACAAACCCTGGGGAGAGGTATCTGGTCACAGTTGTCTGCCTTGAGGGTGAGGTGGTGTAGGTCAACGGGGTAAAATCCTGAAGTATACGGATTTCAGTGTTTGGCAGGAAAGTACAGATGTTGGTTGAAAAGTCATTATGTGAAAACAATCTGTACACAAAAGGAAATAAAATTTCAGTAAGTTTAGTATTATTTCTTTCCAGACACAACTGGAATAAATTGAGTCAGCTTCACACTGTCTTCATCCAAACAGACTATGCTTTTAAGATGCTTAAGGTTAGTTTGGAAATTAATCCTCTGCATTTGACCTTTGATTCCACGACAGGAATTTGGACCAAAACCTAAATGTGTTCTCTATTAGTGTGTTTGAACTGTTTGATTCTCGGATCTGTGTTGGCGATTTCAACGGTTTTGGTCATTCCTCTGAGAAAACTACTTTTGTGATTTATGGCAATACAAGAATAAATTGAATTGAATTGAATCAACATTTATAGACATTGGTCATTGGTCACTTAGGGCTATACAAGATTACATTTCACTGATTTGAACTAGTAACCTACAAGAAAAATGCCTTAACACAGACAGTCATATGGATGTAAATATCTCCTTTCTATTTGAAATAATATGAACCACAGACCTACATTTGCTTTAATTTTCTGAATTTCTTCTGCATGTATAAAAAAGTCCTATATTCCCAGTTGGTCAAATTATTAAAGACATAAGAACTAGGAATAACAAAATTCCACAGTTCAGTGAGGTGACCCCAACGGGCCAAGCTCACATACAAACTCACAATATCAATTACATTGAGGATACACCATGGATGCACAATGTCATACTCTGGAGATAAATATGACCTGAAAAGTTCCTAGTGCCCCTTTTAAACACTGCTAAGAAGGTATTTTATAGCAGTTATTACACTATAACTTTGATTGACAGTTTTGTCCCTTGGTAAAATGAACTCTGTCACCTGAGAAACTACACAACGTTCTCAGAAATCCATCATCGGTGCTTCAAAGCTGCATCATTGTTTGAGCAGACTTTATCTCCAGTGTCCTTGGGGTTGTGTGCTTTGCCTTAAGTTACTGCTATGATTTTATAGACTGGACAAACCGGATCTACTGATACACGCAAGAGAGAAAAAGCGCACAATCCAAGATCCCTCCGCCATCCTTCTCTTTAACGCCTGATTGTTTAAGTGATAAGTGGCAGTGATGGATGAGACGGCCTCTGTGTAATTATTGTCCCGGTTATCATTGTCAGCGCTGATAGCCCACATCCCAATGTCCCAGCCCATTTCGTGCGTGATAAATAACAGTAGCCGGCCCGAAATACATTCAAATAATTTGCGAACATAGGCCCTAGAATGTAAACACGGCGGGCGACTAATGGAGGGTCTTCTGCCGTACGTGAGAGAGTGGGCGACGCTGATGATTGTGTAGTGGTTTTGTTGAGGAGGTAAATCATAATGGATTATACTAGTGTTTCTCCTGTGCTACAACGTACACCTGTGTCTGTGCGGAGGAATGTTGGCGAGTCTTTTCTACAGGTTCTGGTTGGTTTGCCAAAAATACATTTCTCATCAGAGTCCCCATTAGATTGAAAGAAATATCTTTATATGAAAGACCTTTAAAGCTAAGCAGGGCAGGGCCTGGTACAGACCGTGATGGAAGACCTCTGGGAAGACGCTTCTCCCATATTGCCTAGAATGAGTCTGCCGTGTGTAAATGGTCAGAGGGGCTATCGGCACATACTGGTTGCCTCGCTTCTGTCAATGTTCATCCAAAGGGTCTGAAATTTCCCCACTGAGGGACAAAGAAAGGATCTCTTAATCTTAAATAGTGAGTCACAAGGCTCTTTTTTTTACATTATGAATGCAAAATACAATATATTTTCTAATCAGAAGTGCATGATGTGGTTTGATTCGTTCAAAAGGATTCTTTCTGTTTGGATAAAACATGTATTATTTATGAGGTGATACCCCAACTTAGTACCCCTGCTTTCATTATGCAAATAATGGCTGTGGAGGGACCTAATGGCATTGGAAGGATAGGTCGAATGCAGGGGACATGTGTACCCTCAGGATAATAAAGTATAACTTAACTTAAATAACACAAATAACCAGTGTTTTGAATAGCACAACTTATATGCAACATTTTTAAACATGCAACGCACACAAACGTTTACAGAGCTTGACTCCTGGATCCATAGCCTGTCCGTCCATGGGAGTGGATCCCTCTCTCAATGTGGGCCTTCTGGGGTTTCTCACTTTTTTCCCACAGGGTTTTTGAGTTGCTCCTTTCCAATGCAGGAGGGTCCAAGAGCATTGGTGATGATCCGGGACATTTAAGGACTTTTATGGACCAATAGCTCCCATGTGTGTTATTATTGCATTTCTGTGTTCAAACTTATCTGTTGTTGGCAAATCGTCAACTTGTCTGAGACGACTGCTGTTATGATTTAGGGCTTAAATAGGGCTGAAAATAATTGAATTGAAAGGAGCTTGGAAAACGTTGAATGATTGATTGATATATTGACTGAAAATACCTCTATGGAAAAGACAAGATCTCTACTTGAAATGTAATTAGTTCAGTAATGGTCAGTCAAGTAAGGCAATTATATTTTCACTCAAAACGTGTACAGATCATTTATCATTACGGAATGTTTACTTTGATGCTGTAAACCTTTGATAATAGCTCTCAACCCACATACTCTGATATGAACGCTGTAACTGTCAGCGGTGATTGTATGATATGACCGTTTTGTCACAGCTCACATTTCTCACGCGTCGCTCTTAAAGATTACAGCAATTAGTTCTAAAGACTATTATTACTGGGAAACTATTACTTTCTATTGAGTAACATCTTTATCTGCAACTAGCCACTTTGCATTGAATCTCAAGAGCAGAGGAGGAGCAGCTTTGGGACGAGACTTTAAAGTAATTCTCACGTGCTTTTGGCTGCAGAAACAATCGGCCATTTGCATAGATGGAGTGCTATTAGAAATCATAATGGCAGTCCAGGCCTTTTTGTGGAGGCCTCGCATTTCATTCACTTTGAGACAAGTGTGGGAATGACCTCTGTCCTCTGGTTCTCTGGCTCACTGAGCATTAGGAGACGCTAATTGGCCTTGTAACAATATATCAGCCTGTGTTGTATTGCCATGTAAACGCACAAAAACATAATTAGATTTACTATGGCGAGTCTGTGACGGAGCTTGATGTGAGACCAATGTGACATTTGTTCTGTTGACGGTGAACTTTTAAAAAGACTTTGTAACCTTCTTTTTTTTGGCAACATAAGCTCTGTGTTTCTGTCATCACAATACGTTGTAAATTGTCGTGAGGTGAAAACAAGGGAAGGACCCAAATGTCCAAGGTGAAAAATGCATATAAAACATCCAAAACTGAATATAAGAATTGGGGGAAAAAAACAGAGACTAAGATTAATGACAATGGATCAGCAAAAATGAGGAATAGATAGACACAGAGACACAGGTGAAACATATCAGGGTGGGCAGACAATCAAACAGGGGAATTTGACAGAAAGTAAAACCAAAAACAAAACCACAAGATAACTTAGGTCTAAATTAAACCAAGTACCACGTAACAAATATCCACACCAAGACAATAAGTAACATTTATCTTACGCCTTTGCAGTAAAAGCAAGCAAGAAAGTCGCTGAACGGAACAAGGCCTTTCCGAGTGGAGATTCCCTGTTCTCCCTCTGTCTGCCTACATTTCCTCCAGGTGCTCCAGCTTTCTACTACTAAAAAACATATACATAAAATAGGTATACTCCACCAGCTCTGGACATCCTGACCAAGTGGAGCATCAACATCTGGAGATGGGTCCAAGGGGTAAACACTGGGAGATTATTTACAACAACAAAAAATCAAGAAGGCCGGAATCAAACCCAGAACCACTGATACATTTCAATTTAGTCATACAATTTAAAAGTAACCAAAATACTCTTTGGCTGTGGACCTTGGGAGTTGTATTGGTATAGGCAAAATGAACAGTAAGTAATGCAACCCATACAGTCTTAACTTGAGGCAGTCTCGACATAACCAATCCCTCATCTGGACAAGTGACAAGATTTTTTGGTAACACTTTACATTACGGGCCGGTAAGTCCATGGTACTTACAGTGGTACTTCTAGGTACTTACAGTGGTACTTCTAGGTACTTACAGTGGTACTTACGGTGGTACTTACGGTGGTACTTACGGTGGTACTTACGGTGGTACTTACGGTGGTACGGTGGTACTTACAGGGGTACTTACGGTGGTACTTACGGTGGTACTTACGGTGGTACTTACAGTGGTACTTACAGTGGTACTTACAGTGGTACTTCTAGGTACTTACAGTGGTACTTCTAGGTACTTACAGTGGTACTTACGGTGGTACTTACGGTGGTACTTACGGTGGTACTTACGGTGGTACTTACAGTGGTACTTACAGTGGTACTTACGGTGGTACTTACGGTGGTACTTACGGTGGTACTTACGGTGGTACTTACGGTGGAACTTACAGGGGTACTTACGGTGGTACTTACGGTGGTACTTACGGTGGTACTTACGGTGGTACTTACGGTGGTACTTACGGTGGTACTTACAGTGGTACTTACGGTGGTACTTACGGTGGTACTTACGGTGGTACTTACGGTGGTACTTACGGTGGTACTTACGGTGGTACTTACGGTGGTACTTACGGTGGTACTTACGGTGGTACTTACAGTGGTACTTACAGTGGTACTTCTAGGTACTTCTAGGTACTTACAGTGGTACTTCTAGTGGTACTTCTAGGTACTTATTGTGGTACTTACAGTGGTACTTCTAGGTACTTACAGTGGTACTTAGAGGTACTTATTGTGGTACTTACAGTGGTACTTCTAGGTACTTATTGTGATAATTCTAGATACAGCTGTAACTTAGTAATTCAAGGACACTACAGTATTATTCCTATGTAGTAAATGTGGTACTTCTACATACATACATACAGAGGTCATTTGTAGGATTGTTTGACTATAAAACATAAAACAACATTATGTAAAACAAACGTCTTTATTAATATGGAATAAGTAGCACAGAAAGGACAGTATAAATACATTTAATGCATATTTCAAAACAAGTTTCAAGGACAAGGGAAACACTGCAAGAACTAGGTACCCAACCCAAGTAACAAGAATTACACATTACCAGGTACTTACCAGCCAAGTACCAGGTACTTACCAGCAAGTACCAGGTACTTACCAGCAAGTACCAGGTACTTAACAGCAAGTACCAGGTACTTAACAGCAAGTACCAGGTACTTACCAGCTAGTACCAGGTACTTACCAGCAAGTACCAGGTACTTACCAGCAAGTACCAGGTACTTACCAGCAAGTACCAGGTACTTACCAGCTAGTACCAGGTACTTACCAGCAAGTACCAGGTACTTACCAGCAAGTACCAGGTACTTAACAGCAAGTACCAGGTACTTGCTGGTAAGTACATGGTATACTATATAATTACTGGTATCACTAGTACTTATGGGTAAGTCCTTTGTCTTATTATGGGCCAGTTCCTATGGTAAGTACCTGGTACTTACTATATAATTACTGGTGTTATCACTGGTACTTATGTTAAAGTCCTTTGTCTTATTATGGGCCAGTTCCTATGGTAAGTACCTGGTACTTACTATATAATTACTGGTGTTATCACTGGTACTTATGTTAAAGTCCTTTGTCTTATTATGGGCCAGTCCCTATGGTAAGTACCTGGTACTTACTGTATAATTACTGGTGTTATCACTGGTACTTATGTTAAAGTCCTTTGTCTTATTATGGGCCAGTCCCTATGGTAAGTACCTGGTACTTGCTGTTAAGTACCTGGTACTTGCTGTTAAGTACCTGGTACTTGCTGGTAAGTACCTGGTACTTGCTGGTAAGTACCTGGTACTTGGCTGGTAAGTACCTGGTAATGTGTAATTCTTGTTACTTGGGTTGGGTACCTAGTTCTTGCAGTGTTTCCCTTGTCCTTGAAACTTGTTTTGAAATATGCATTAAATGTATTTATACTGTCCTTTCTGTGCTACTTATTCCATATTAATAAAGACGTTTGTTTTACATAATGTTGTTTTATGTTTTATAGTCAAACAATCCTACAAATGACCTCTGTATGTATGTATGTAGAAGTACCACATTTACTACATAGGAATAATACTGTAGTGTCCTTGAATTACTAAGTTACAGCTGTATCTAGAATTATCACAATAAGTACCTAGAAGTACCACTGTAAGTACCACAATAAGTACCTCTAAGTACCACTGTAAGTACCTAGAAGTACCACTGTAAGTACCACAATAAGTACCTAGAAGTACCACTAGAAGTACCACTGTAAGTACCTAGAAGTACCTAGAAGTACCACTGTAAGTACCACTGTAAGTACCACTGTAAGTACCACTGTAAGTACCACCGTAAGTACCACCGTAAGTACCACCGTAAGTACCCCTGTAAGTACCACCGTAAGTACCACCGTAAGTACCACCGTAAGTACCACCGTAAGTACCACCGTAAGTACCACTGTAAGTACCACCGTAAGTACCACCGTAAGTACCACCGTAAGTACCACGTAAGTACCACCGTAAGTACCACTGTAAGTACCTAGAAGTACCACTGTAAGTACCTAGAAGTACCACTGTAAGTACCACTGTAAGTACCACTGTAAGTACCACCGTAAGTACCACCGTAAGTACCACCGTAAGTACCCCTGTAAGTACCACCGTAAGTACCACCGTAAGTACCACCGTAAGTACCACCGTAAGTACCACTGTAAGTACCTAGAAGTACCACTGTAAGTACCTAGAAGTACCACTGTAAGTACCATGGACTTACCGGCCCGTAATGTAAAGTGTTACCGATTTTTTTTTTTCATGCGTAGATTAGCACAACGATTATGTTTTGTCTTGGGCCTCCTTGCCTTCTGTTGCCTGTCAAGCGGAGACATGGACCGGGTGGACGAAGGTGTCCTGCGGCCTGATCAATCACCAAATGCAGGCATGTGTAAGTTCAACTGTGAACCAGGTCAGACCGGTCAGGGAGCACGCAGAGTTCAGCCTTTGCCTGCTCACTCGTCACCTCTAAGAAGGCCTCTTGGCAATGCTGATTGGCTAAAGCTAATTGGCAAATCAAAGCAATCAAAGCAAGTTTCTTTGGTGAATGGCATCAGGACTGTACAGCTGCACTTAGCACAATGGTTGACCCAAAATGACTGTGTTTTTCGTGGATACATGAGCTGTTAGTGGTCTCATAAAACACCTTCACGCCCCTTCTCTCACTCCTCTTCCCCCATCTGTCATTGCCTTGTCCCACACACTTTGGACAGATGATACGCTGTCCTCTTTTTTCCCTTTGCAAGTAGCGTATTTTTTCTTCCCCCTGGAGCGAGTAACTTGGTCCCCTGCCTGTGTCCATGGCTTTCCACTCCCCGCACCCGCACACACCGCCCTCCTGCCCCGGCGCAACTTCACAACTCGGGGACGAACGTGGCCTGCAGCTTGGACAACCCTCCGCGGAACAAAAACACACAGCTCGTCTGAAAAGCTGCCTTTATCCGCGGCGAACAAAAAGGCAGCTTCACCTCGGCACTGTTCCCACCATTAGGCTGTGCGTGGCTTGGACCAACACCACCCCCCACCCGTTACCCACACTGCCCCAGTAAAGGGAGGTTTCTGGGGGGGGGGGGGAGCAACAAAGACATTGACCAGTGCTTTGACGCGGACACCTCCCAATGAGAGAGGGGAAGAAACACACACCTGCAGTTTTTTTGTGTGGCACTTTATGGCCGTCGCTAGAGGGCTTTTCAGGCACATAACAGGGCCATTTTTGGATTCAAGCCCAAAATCAGGTATAGCCATCCAGACTGGGCCACATTAGTGAACAATGGTGCATCAAAGAGTAAAAGTTGGAGACCAAAGTGGAGCCAAATGCAGCTCCATACACTTTTTATGGTCTGACAAAGAGAACTGTGGGTCTATAGCACAGATTGTGTGTTTGCTTTCCTCTACAATAAATAATGGTTTGTATTGTAGAGATTTACATTTCATGAGGAATGGATTGAAGTTCTCAGCTTTGATTCCAGATTCGAGTTTGAAGCATCATCTTACCATGTCAATTATGCTATTGTGTAGGCCAGGGGTGTCAAACTCTTTTTAGTCAGAGGGTAAAATGGTGACATCAAAGCCGGCCAGGGGTCAAAAGAAAATAAAAAAGTTGTCCTATAGTGGAAATGTTGTTTGAAGCTTTTCAACAATAGGTGTTTGGTCAAAAGGATTGTTGGGATTTAACAGGAGTTCAGGTACTGTTTGTTTGGAATGAATCAACATAGAACCAGAATGAATAACTGATGTTGTTAATTCTTTAGGAAATAACCACATGATGTAAATGTACCTCTCACCATCTATGCTACAAGTTACCAGAAATCATTGATTGTTCTGGGGTCTCATGGGCCTTATGTTTGTTAGTTGAATGAATATTAGCCTACACCACACTATCTACTGTCCATGACCCTTGGTACAAAGTTCTTCAAGCTGGTCAGTGAATTATTGCTGTTTTTTATGTTTCTAGAAGTAAAGCAATAGTAAAATAAAATTTAAGCAGATCTGGGTGTGAAATAATAATATTGACAACCAATTATAAAGATTTACCTGGTGGCGCAGCGGTTAGCAATTGCGCTTCACTGCAAAAATGTCCTGGGTTCGATTCCACCTCCTGTATGGGGACCCTGCTTCCATCACTCTGTGGAGTTGTGGAACAATTGTAAAGTGTTTTCTGACACAAGTGATATAAAAAAACATGATGTACTTACTTATGTATATGTGACTGTAAGCACCAGCAGTTGACACTGTGGGTACCCCTTTATGTAACCGAGGGTGAATGCATTTGAATCACACATGAAGAGAATAAGAATACAGAGATAAACAAACAGGAAGGCATTTATTTTACAGTACTGGTAGAATAAAATAGGCTTTAATATAATGGCCAATACTATTTTTGAAATACAGAGGGCTGCCCAGGCGAGGGTGCGCACAGTGGGATATCACAGTAGGCAAACACAAAAGAAAGAAAGAACAAAAATAAGCAGTTAATGCTCACAACATGCAAATAATCCCAATCTCATTCAAAACATATAAAATATTAACAACTACAACCTAAATGGCATATATAGCCCAGCGTTCTGTAGTGTCACAGCAGTGGCACATCTCCTCAACGCCTAAAATAATGGTGGTTGAGTGGACGGCACTCTCTCTTCTCAGCAAGAGGGACCTGGTCCTTTCTGAGTAAAGGTTTGCATGTTCTCCCCGTGTCTGCATAGGTTTCCTCCGGGTGCTCCGGTTTCCCATACCACTAAAAGCATGTACAACAGTTCTGGCATGCACCTCCTGTATGGCGACCTTGCTCTCATCTCTGTGTGGAGTGATGCCCACAAATGCCCACAATTGTTAAGCATTTAGTGACTCTGGTCTGTGAAAAGGACTATGTAGATAAAGGTAAAAAAGATAACTCTAATATATTACCGTACGGGCATTAAAGCATGTGCGTTTTGGACTTGACTCACAAGTAACACGGTATCCCCAGCCAGACCACCACCGTCATGATGGTGATGGTCTCTCCAACACACAAGTCAGCACATTATAAACATAGCTACGGCTCTAAACACTCGCAGGCAAGCGTAGTATCCCGCATAGTTTTTCACCACCGAGGCAAAAAGTGCAGATGGGGCGCGTGCAAATGTGGCAAAACACATAACCTCAGTAATGTGACGTTAAGTTTTGTCCATGGACCATACTGGATAAAGAGTGGACTGACCGAGTGCCAACATCAGCCGTAGTGTTTGCTGCCGTGACAGGTTGCTAAAGCAAGCGGGAGTTTCCCTCGCGTATTAAGGTATTTTATTGGTCAATCCTTATACGGCTCATATCTGGAATTATAAAAACAACATCAAATGGTTTCTGAGCTAGAGGAGTTTACTTTTCAATGTAAGTCAATAGGAGCCAGAGCGAGTTGGAGCAAAACTTAATCCAACAGCACCTCCCTGTTCTTTGAGCTTGGGGTTTGCATTGTCCATCTACGTACGGTCTACGTTTTTTTTTACGGTCTTCGACACACACATTTTAATCTTGGGAAATTCCAAGGAGGCTTGTGTTATATCTATTTTTACTTTTATACATTTTTTGCACTATGAGCCAAAGCAAATTCCTAGTCTGTCACTTCATGTTACGTACTGTACAATGGCAATAACAAAAATTCTGATTCTGAATGATCCAAGCACCAACTCAAAATATAAACTATTGTAGCATGCATTTATTGTGAGAAAAAAACAAAACAAAACATAATCTGGTACTTGTATGGCAGAGGAAACATTCTCACTCAATACAAAACATGTATCTCACAATCAATGTATATGGACCGGTTTGTTGCCCCGAGAAACAATCACCTTATGTAATTGTATACGTTGTTTTTGATCGTTAGTTTCTCCACAATAACTTCTACGCTCGTCCATTAGTCAGAGTTTGACTATGATTCTATTGGTCGGTTTTTAACTGGCGAGGTTACTGTATTAAACTATGCCCCCTCCATACACCACTCAATCAACACAATCTAATGACACTGTGGCAAATTTGCATTGTGTGAATACAAAGTGGGTCATTTGGAAACGATGTTGCCGTGCAGGACCTGCCTGTCATATCATAAATGCGTTTACATATTCAATAAATGTAATGTTCACCCTTGTATTCATTACCACCTATTCAAAAAGAAAAAAAAGAAAAAAAATGAAGCCCAGGCCATTTGAGTCTGACTGGGTCCGTGAAGAAATCATTATCCCCATGACCTGCAGCTATTAATTCCATCCTCACTCCTCCCTCTGTCTCTCATTTCTCTCGACAAATTTACATGAAAGACCACTCACACACAGCACGGGCCTCCAGGTAAATGACAATCTAAGCAATGATTTCATGCAATATTACCATTTTGCCGCACACGCCTCTCGCTCGCTCGGTCCACGGGGCTAGTGTGAGAGTATCATTAATAAATCTGGCCCTCTACCGTGACTGAAGGGATCAACATGTTTTAATTATCCCGCTGTGATTCCAAGTGGATGGCAGAGCTGTTGGCTTGCACAAACACGCCACAAAAACACGATCGCAGGTGAAACAGGGCAAGGTCAGAAGTTTGTCTCGCTGCTGTTATTCTGTTATAAGTTTTGGAAAGAGCGTCAGGCAAACGAGTTAGTGAGAGGTGTAATGTGCAGCTTGTCTTGGGATAAAATAATTATAATGCATCGGTTTTATATAGCGCTTTTCAGGACACACTCAAAGACGCTTCACATGTCATAATTCAAGCGCTCCATACACATTGAAGCGACAGCTGCCCTGGGGCACACTGACATAAGTGAGGCAACCAGTATGGCCATCGGCCCCCCCGACCACCACCAAATATTCACACACACCAGGCTCATTCTCGGCTGTGTGGGTGAAGTGTCTTGCCAAATGTCACAACAACAGTTTAGCACATTACAGTCACAGCCGCCCCACTGTGGCACCTGGTGTCACCAGAGATCTCCCATCACAGCACTAACCTGGCCCTGCCCTGCACAGCTTCAGAGGTCTGACGGGATCTGACTTTTGCATGCAAGTATGGCCACAAAGATATATGTATTCCATATTTGTATGGAATTTAAGAAGAAACATTATGTATTACGGGTAAGGGTAAATAATGCTTTCTGCCTGTAACTCCCTATGCTACCACAAGAGGGAGTTGTGGTTTTTGCTCATAATTTTTCCAAAATTTGGAAATTACCCTCTGTAAACACGGCTATGCCATTGTAAAGAATGTACCAGATTTTGTTTTGATGTGATGTCATAGTGGTACAATTACATCATACTATTACAGGACTGGCGAGTGAGCTTTCAGACAGATGGGGCTGAGTTAGGCAGGTTTGAGCCAGAAGTTCCCACTATTAACATGAATAGAAGGACAATGTTCAATTCAATTCAACATATTTGTGAATGGCCTTATTTCACAACTGTTGTAATCTCGGAGGACTTTACAAAACCGTCGATTTGCCAACACAGATCAGAGAATCAAACAGTTCAAACACAACAAATGCAATGATGAAAAATCCATTGGTCGATAAGGGGCGGATGACCAATGTCCATAAATGTTGATAAAGTCCATAAATGTTGTTGAATATCGCGTCTCCTAGTTGTAAGACGACTAAAAGCTCTAATAGGTCAATTTTGCATGTGTCCTTAAAAAACAAGATCAATATGCACCTGTCCAGATAAAAGATATAGAGACAAAGATTGGTTGAACTGAAAAAAGAAAAAAGAAAAGAAAACTGCCATCAAATAGACAAGCGTTTAAGTTTTGCATTTACAAATCGGCATCCTTGTTTGACTTTCTGCCTCTAATGTGCGTCTCCGTCATCAGTGAACAATTACCAATAAATCTTGGTGCATCAAGAGGAGACATATTTCTTCTGGATGTCTGTCTGGAGTCCCACTTTTATTTAACGAAGTGAAAGAACCAGACAGCACAGGCCCGGCGTGTCCGGACATGGGCCGATGTGCAGTGGTTAGAGCATAAAAGAACAGAGGAAAATCCACTCTGAAAAAGAAAGGTGGTGCACGGAAAATAGGGGAATTATACTAACACTTTAATTAGAGTCAGTTGGATACCGTTTGGACTCCACAACAATGAAATTTGGAAATAGCCACATCGAATGAGGGGATTTTTACCCATTTTTAAGGTACACACTAGAACATTTTGCGTTTTTGATATCATTTTTCAAGTGATAGACAATTAGTCAAATGTTAAAGGGTCAAATTTTTACTTAGAAACAGGCAGATTGAGTGAAGGAATTAGAATAGTTAGCAAACATTTGCAAATAGGCGCATGCAGGATGATTCTCTGCCCCAGGGCTTGTATGTGGTTTTTCCAATCCCAAAGTGGTTGAAGAGCATGAGGCCTGCCAAGATAACAGACTTTTTGGATTCACCGACAAAAAACGCCACAATGAAAGATTATGATGAACATGATAATATTGAAATTGGAGCCAACAATAATCCAATGAAACCATATATGCAAGAAATAAATCAAATGTTTCTGTATCTCTTGTGTTGTAACAGTAAATATTTGCACAGTCTTATGAAATTGAAATGTTAACAAATCGATCAAGTCTTCATCATAATAGAAAACTTGTTCCTGTGAGTCACTATTTGATGTTTTGGGCTAATATTGGCCAAAAGTGCATTCACTGTGAAAACTAGTGACAGTACATAAGTGTTTTGAGTGCGAGAAGCAGTTCCATTGTTGTGACATGAAAGTTAGAGATCCAATCCTCTGCCGCTCAAATTGTATTGTGCAACAAAGAAACTCGCAAAAAACGTCTGGATT